AGGGAAGCCGTGGCAGGAAGACTCAAGACTCACAGGGAAGCCGTGGCGAAGGAACCCGTGCAACCCGTGCATCCCGTGCATCTCGTGCCTCCAACGCCACCAGGAAGACTCAGCTTACCCGTGTGACCGGCATGACACATGGCACAGTGCTCACGGGGAAGACAGCCCATACCATCCGCACAGCTTTGACTGCTCGCAGCCACATGACCAAGGGGACCAGCAAGACACAGGGTACTGTCCTGTCGCGGATGACCGCGCTGGCCAGTTTGAAGGACAGGGATCACCACCAAGGTTCCTTGTTTGAGTGAGTCTGCGAAAGAGAGTTTGTAGATGTCAAATCCGTAGCTTACATGTGCAGATATTTGTTCGGCCCTTTCAGGAGGGGGACGACTTCCAATATCACTTTGGCACCCACAACGCTCTACGCCCGACGATTGCCCAACGCGCCGGAGCACTACTCAACGAAGAGGAAGAGGAGGAGTTTGAGGACGAATATGGGGATGAGCTCAAACCCAAAGGCATTCCGAAGGCCGGTATCGAACTGAAGCCGACGATGGGGCCTGTGAAGTTGTGTTCGTAAATATGGAATATATAACCTTTTCACATGCAATATTCCATACAATATGTAAATATGTATCTCACAGTCCTGTCCAATGTTCATGAAGCTTTAAAGATCTCGGAGAAAGTCACTCTATCGATGATCCAAGAAAACAGGGTCTTGGCCTATATCGGACTGTTGGCCAGCTGGAGACATGGCCGTGCAGGAAGATGCCATTTGCAGCGCATCTATTGGAAACATTTGGATGTATCAATTTACGTAATTACTTGAGACACCTACTGACACCAGATTCCTTTAGATTCCTTTTCAGAATTACCACAACCTGATTGTTGCCTGATTGTTGAGGATATCCGAATACCATCATTCTTGATCGTGCTTTGTTGCTTCAACAACACTGCCGCATATGTCATGGAGTTTGCGACTTTTGCGATCTTCTTCAAGGAGTTGGATCGAACGAGAAAGATTTGGCACGAGTGCTGGTTGGATAGGTTTGCACCTCCAGGTTTTGGGGATTTGGATTTGGCTGCAAGTTTCTGGACACTGCACCATGGTGTCTAGCTTCACTAGAAGGGGGTTACAAGTCTTGCTTAGACCGAAAACTTTGCCCGCCCCTTTTTACACAGGAATTTTCAGACTATTCTTGTTCAGTGATCATTCAATTTATTTGCTAGACCTTCTCTTTCGAATAAGTGTACATAGCCGCTCCCAAAGATCTATATGGGAGTTGATCTAAACCCCCGTGTAAGGTGCTTTATATAAAACAGCTTTTCAGATGTTGTTAAAACCATCCGCAAAAGATTCGCAATGAGGTTCGCGAAAGTATTTTTCCCCAGATAGCGAAGCCAGAGTATTTCAATGGTGACCCAGAGTACGATGAGAGCTACGCCAGTCCCAACAAGATCGAGATTGGCGAAGCTCTCATGGAAATGCAGCAGCGAATAGATCGGTCTAAGACCAAGTGAACCGCTACTGTGACCCACAGAGTTGAAAAGGTGAAAGCGCGTTGTTGACGTGGGAATGGGAGAGATGGGATCGAAGATGATCAGCTGCTGTCCTAATCTCAACCATAAACCATGCCTTCTTTTGCATACTCAGCACGCCATGTTTGAGCACACCTAGGTTTCACCCATACCCTTTGACCCCAGCCTCTCAGAACCCTATCAGCTATGGGGTTCTTACTTCAAATAACAACGAGTTGCCCGTGCGCGCTTTCGAGACAGGTTGCTGGTGCTGGTGCCGGGTGCCGGTGCTGGTGCTGTGAGCTGGCTGCGCACGTGGTGGAGACTGGTGCTGGTGCTGGTGCTGGGTGCCGGTGCTGGTGCTGGTGGTGCCGGGTGTCGGTGCTGGGTGCTGGCTGGCTGGCTGTGCGCGTGGTGGAGACAGGGTGCTGGGCGCCGGTGCTGCGAGCTTGCTGTGCACGTGAGCTGGCTGCGCACGTGGTGGAGACATGGTGCCGGTGCCGGCTGGGTGCTGGGTGCCGGTGCTGGTGCTGGTGCTGTGAGGTGCCGGGTGCTGGCGCTGGCCGTGCGCGTAGTGGAGAGACGCCACGCTGTAAAAATTGGAGCTGTTGCCAATGCAGGGTGCAGCCTAGAAAAATCTTTTGCATGCTTTTGCTCTCTGGGGTCTATGCTGGAGTATTTTTGTTTTTCCGCGAAAGATTTATCGTAGGTCTTCGCTTTTTGCGAAACCTTGTGCAGGCCGCCATTTACTGTGCTCAAAAGCTTCGCATGGTAGCGGAGCCCGGGATCGTCAGTGCTTTGACATTGGGGTGAGGCTCCAGCACCTTTGGTGGCGGTTCGACCATTGCCGTAGCCATAGATGCAATCTTTGCTAGAGGCCCCACCTTGAAGTTCCTCGCCCTGGATTGTTAGAGCTGGATACATGGCTGGAGTTTTCGGCGTTGAGGGTTCACCTACAGGATCCCCAGTGCTGTTGATGGAGAAGAGCTTGCGCGCCGTATGATTCAGGCAGCAGAGGCGGCAAGCTTGGCGGCCCAGAGTGCAGCTGAGGCGTTGACGAGGAGATCATCAACCGAGGACTGTAGCTGGTTTAAGATTCTGCCAAAGCGGGCTTCTTTTGATCCAAGGGGAAGAGAGGAGGAGTTAGCCCAGTGGAGAATTTTAGTGGGGCTTTGAACAGTATCTTGCAGGCCTGGATGGATCGTTTGTTGAAGACTTTGGAAAGTTGAGAGCCAGGCCAGGTACTGAAGTGGGTGCCAGCATTCAGACTGATGAGGAGAAGCAGAGGAGCAGTTTTCTCTATGCATTGCTGGCTTCACTAGTTCGCCAACGATCTTTCGTTGATCAAGCAGGTGCCCAATTCGAACGGACTGGAGGCTTACGGATTGTTGATAGAACCAGCTAGCGAGAACAGGTCGTTGACAATGTTGCTGGAATGGGGACAGTTCGACATGAGGAAAGGCAATCTGCTGAACCAGTTGCTACGTTTGGAAGAGGCGTTTGCAGACAATGAGAAGACGGGGTCAAAGTTGGAAGATACAATCAAACTTACCATACTGATGAAATGTGTCTCAGGGCAATGGAAAACATGGCTGCAACTGAATGTGTCCGAAAGAGCCAGAACTACATGCTCAGGGAAGCCATCATCCAGTATGACAACGCCACTGTCAAATGGAGCAGCGCTACAATGCTTGGACAGGAGTTCCCATGGATATTGGGCGAGTTGCAGAGGCCAAAGGAAAGCAGAAAGGTAAAGGGAAGAGCAAAGATCCAGGAGGAGCAAAGGGCAAAGGGAAGGGTGAACCGAAAGGAGGAAAAGAAAAGGGAAAAGGGGTGAACGAAGGCCAGGATGGTGGAGGAAAAAGCCAACAGAAAGGTCAACAGAAGGGAGATGGAAAAGGGAAGTCGAAAGAGAGTCCAATCAAGTCATGCCATGTCTGTGGCAAACTGGGTCAATGTCAGGCAGGTCAGTGACCCTTCAGGCACAGCGTTGACCACAGATGCACCGAGCGCAACGAAGAGCTCGCCGGCCACCGCCACGAAGGCCACAGCCGTCAAGAGGATTGCGCAACTTTGTGTTTGACGTGGTGAACGCGTGTTTGGGCAGATCAGGTGAAGGTAGAGAGAGGATCTACCTGCTCATCCACGTTGACGACAGAGACTTCCGGCAACTGCAGATATTCAGAACATCGATGGATCCAATTTGGTCAGTGCAGAGGACGCCTCATTGTTCAGGTCGATCATTGGGATGGGGATCTACTTGTCCCAAGAGAGCCCCGGCATTTGACATTGCGTATGTCATCAAGGAGCTAGCGCCAAAGATGTCCTCGCCCACAGAGATCTCAGTCCAGAAGTCGAGGCGGGCTACGTCAAGGAGACACAACAGCAACATGTCTTGCTACCTATGCCAATGAGAGGGCAGGGTTTGACTATACCAGGAGCAATCATCCATGGATGTCGGAGACCTACACAGATGCAGACTGGTCAGGGTGCAAGGCCACAAGGAGGCTTACATCTTCTTCGGTGCGCGCCTTGAATGGAGTGATCGTTCACAGCGCTTCAAGGTACCAGAAGACCGTCAGTCTGTCATCGGCAGAGAGTGAGCCGAACTCACTGGAGCTTGTGATGGGTCTGTTTAGAGTTCCTTACAGAGGAGGAGGTATACATCATGTATGGTGGACCAGTGCAACGCGCCAGATTGCGTGCGAGACAGGAAGTGGACGACTACGCCGCAGGAAGTTGCAAAGTGGCAGAAGGACTGGAGGTTCGACAGGTTGGGACAGCGTTCAACCTAGCGGACATTGGCGCAAAACCTTTGTCGAAGGCGAGACTCGAATTGCTGCCGTATTGGTGCAATGCCAGGGATGCAGAAGGCAACAGAGTTGGAGAGAAGGAACGTCATGATTTCCAAGAGCGCGTGGCAAAGGGCACACAGGGCATTGGTGCTGAAGGGAGGCTATGTGGACTTGCCCCAGCTTCTTGAATACCCGGAGAAGGTGAGCCAGAGGCATGATGGCTTGAGCTTGAAGAAACAATGGAAGGAGGTCAACGATCTGAAGAGAGCGGGGACTAGATGTACTTCCATCGAAGCAGTTCATCATGAATCATGGTTGATGCGCGTTCCACCCCAGATGATTCACCACGCCTAGAAGGAGATACTGCAACGATCCGGCTGGATGATGGTCGAGTTGTGGAAGTTCCAGTTGAGTATGTGCAGGTTGCGCAGGAAGTTGCGGCATCAAGCAGCAACCCCATAGCAGCAGCTAGTGACGGGGTGAGCCCACGCCCATGTCAGAAGATGAGCGCGGGGAGGAAGAGGGACAGAATGAGTCACCTCGCTCAGTGCACACGTGCTCTTCATGGAATCCAGAAGATTTCGAGTATTGGAACAGCTTGTGCAAGAGGGCGTTTGAAAGCGCGACAGGAATCGCATACCGGGGGACTGGCTGAAGAAGATTTGTACCGCGACCGACGTGCAGGAGCGTTTTGTCTACAGTCTACATGGACCAGCGAGCCTAGAGGTGTTTGATTGAGCCAAAAGACTCAGCACTCAAAAGGAGGACCGTGTGCAGGCCGCCATTTGCCGTGCTGGTTGCACATGTTACGCCTCCCCCCGGAATGGCGAATGACATTTCACGAAAGATCCGCGAATGTTTCGTGAATGTGCCCTAAAGTCCAGCTTGAGGCCCCCCAACATTCCCCAAGCTGCATCAGCCTGTGTTGGTAGCTGGCGCGAGGATTGGGTTGAGTTGTGAAGGGACCCTGAGTAGCCGTGGAAACTCTCAACCTTGATCCTGGGGTCATGCTGCAAGATGTCATTCCTTATTTTGTGATACAAACATGAATAGTTCCGGCTCGTGTTAACTAGACATGGTTGCAGGACCCATGCTTCGCGATGAGGTTGCGAAAGATCTAAAAGATGATACTGTACCGTTTTTTTCCGCGAATGGCCATTCTAGGAAGAAAACGTTTTGATCAACCACCATATACCTTTGGAGTGCTCTTTTTAATGGAAAAGGATGTTGCAAATGTTGTGATCAAACTGTACAAACCGATTCTTCGCAAACATCTTCTGATTAAAACATGCCTCAACACATAGTCTCCGAGCAAATCAAGATGTACGTTACTTCAAGTATCCATCAACGCCCTTCTTCGTAAGAATTGGTGTCCATACATTTTTTGTTCATATGATTTCATATGTAGAGAAGAGGAAGAGGAGTTTGCCCTGAAAATTTGGCTAAGGGTAGTTTCACTACCCAGGGTGGATCCGTTCTCCTTATATATGGTTTTGATGCGGGCAATGGCGTTAGACATATATGACATCTTTGAGTTGTACCTGGTTTAGTTCGTGCTCCTTTCTGGCACTTTTGTCACAAACGGGTTGGCTTCAGCCCGCGTTGTTGCCTTGGTTTGACGAGGAGTTTCACAAGTGGGAGGCTGCGACTTGGGCGAGCCTAGCGCAGACCAGCGGAGATTTGGTGGCAGCAGTCATGATGAAGGTCTTGAGGAACGACGTGGACGAGGTCCTCCAAAGCAGGGCAAAAGCCTCCGTGTTGGAACTGACGGGCGCAAGATAGAGTTTTACCTGTTGAACAACATGTTATGGCTTTGTATCCAACTGTTTTGGGGCAGACAAAAGCGATTCTGAAGGTTGGTAATGATTCGTCCATTCTCCCGGTTCATGTATAGCTTCCCGATGTTTTTGGTCTTGGTTTGACCTTTCCCTGGAATTGGAAGAGGCCGAGAATGTGGGCTGGCTGCGCCGCATCATCATGCAACCATACAATCTAGCCTGCCTCCTGTTCTGCTGGACGCTCTGCAACTTGGGGATGATCAGCCCTTTGTTGCCTGTTGCTGTCACGGCGCAGATCATCATGGGCACGGCCTTTGTCTACACCATAAAGATGAGCACCGACCTAAACCTCTTCTACTCCATGGGGGATACAGCTGTCTTCCTCAAGCTTCAGGTCTATTGCAGCTTCTTCCGAACTGGTGGATGTTCTTTTTTTGAGACCCGTGGACAGAACATTTTAAGCTTGCATTTAGCTTGCAGTTGCAAGGCTTGTGTTGCTATATGTCACCAAACTCTCCACGTGGAGGATCTTGCTCAAGCTGGGAACACCAGGTACATCTCCTGGACCCAGGTTCCTGTGTATCGCATTTTCCAATGCAATGGCTTCTTCTTTTCCTTCGCAGAGCTTTGTCGGTCAAGGTCAACTTTCTTGACACCGCCACGGTGCTGAGCCACATGGTCTCAGAGCCCGGCCATGACACGACAGGCAGAACTAGCTTCGGCAGATCCAAAGAACCGAAGCCTTTGGGAAGCGTCACCGACACATGTTGGAGGCATGATGCAGCTGTGACCTCATCCTTGGAGCCTTTATGTCGTTGGATGCAAGGAAGCCCGTGGGTTGCCTGACGAAGAGCCTTTCCGCGCGCCAGGTTCAGGTGGTGCTCCCACATAGGTCCTAGGTTTGGCTCACAGCAGGTCCTCGACAAAGTCAGAGCTGATGTCGGTGGAGGGGTGGCAGTGCTCCATGAGATTGCAAAAGTTGATGTCGCAATGTGCGTTTGCTCTCCTGTCTTGCTTCTTGCACGCCTTCTCGCAAAGTAGAGGTGTGCGTGGCAGAGCCTGATTGCGGGCCAGACTTCGCGCGAACTCATTTGGTCGCCTTACGCAGCACTTCACCAAACCTCAATGTTTGATGCCAGGGATGGCACTAGCTTCTGAAGTGCGGCAGAATCAAATGCGCGCGTGACTCGCGCCATGTCGTTGCCAACAAGAACAGGCTGCAAGAACAGACCTCTTCTGCCCAGGGTTTTAAATGCTGTGCGTTGGTGTAGTTTTGTCGTGGCAGTTGTGCCACCGTACTCTGTGGTTTTTTTTGGCAGTGGGGCAGGGGTATTTTATGGTTGCTACTACTTGGCTAGATCACAGGCTTTGCTGCAGTTTGAGAGGGAAGCTGCGCAGGCCAACAAAGGCGCAACAGACATTAAACGGGACCCCCGCCACAAACAAAGACATACACTTTCAAATCGAGTTGAGGGATGCGCGGGCGTGTGCGAACAGTTGGCCTGGACAGCGCAACGGGCAGACCAATGCTACAGATGGCCAATAGGGATTGAGCCCATGGGAACCCCATGACAGGCCGGCTGTAAGTTGCTCCTTGCAATCTCACGCCTTTTGGCCCACACCAAGACGAAAGTGCATGTGTGGCTTTGTCCAAATCCAGATTTGAGCCGGTTGGCTTCAAACTCCACCGCCTATAGAAAAAATTCTGTTTGTACATGTTTATGCCTATGCCACGTGGGTGTGTCGGAGCAGGGTCTTCGCTGCTACTGTTTCTTTCCCGAGAGCTTTTTTGCTGTCGACTTGCAGGCCCAAACGCTGTAGTCACGATGGGTTTTCCATTGCTTTGTCTGTTGATTTAGTCAGTGGGTGTGTCTTGGCAAAGGCAAGAATGCGGAAGCCCTCGGGGGCTGCATCTTCAGCTTTCTGGGCCCTTTCCTCTTTGAGAACGTCAACGCCTTTTTCCCATTCGTGGTCACGACGTGCATGTCGGCACTGATCTTTATCATCTTCACTGCAGGTGAGAGGGAGGGCAGATCGGTTGAGCGGGACCGGGGCGTTTAGTCGCAACGACTCCACAGTAGCGCCCACCAAAGGATTAACGTTTTTGGCGTTTTCAATGTCTAAATTGTCAACTATGCTGGGACTTGGGTAACCTTCAAGATAGGTTTTTATTTAAGGGCTGCCGCCCAGTGCCGCCGACCCCAGGAAGGGAGACAAAAGAGGTGTGGGGCGGACAGAAGGCATGGTGACTCGTGGGTGGTAGCGCAGAACACATGGGGACACCGCGGCGTGCTGCACCGGCTATGTGGAATCCCCAATGTGAGGAGGGGGCAGGAGGGGGTGCTGCATCGGCTACGTGGAGAGGAGGGGGCAGGGAGGGGGTAAGCGTTAGAGATATTAAAGGGGGTGGGGCAGACAGAGGGCA